TTTGCTACACAGCAGAGGTGCAGTTAATATATTTTGAATAAATAATAACTGTATGAATTAGACTCTCAGCCTCTTGAACTCCCATGGGAGGCAATATTAAATAGTAAAGAATACCAGTTTCAAAATCAGATTATATCAGTTCAAATCCTGCCTCTATCACTTCGTGGTCATATAGGTTCAATGTACTTACTTCTCTGTGTCCTAATCTATGTGATTGTACAAAAATGGTGGCAACAGACCTTAACACAGGGTCATTGTGAGGATTAAAAAAACCTACCTGACTTGGATATATAGGGTGCTTAGACCATTCCCAGGTCTATAGTAAGGAAACATAATATTGTTAACAAGTATTTTTAAGAGTGGCATTTAGTTTTTCACATTTAAAGGGTAATGAGGGTGAGATAAATGATCTTAGTAGTGTTGTACTCTTTCAGATATATTTTAACTTAAATCATCAGATTAATGATTTAAGTTAAAATATATCTGAAAGATTAATTCTATTCATGTAAGTTCCCCCTAAAATTATTAAAATGTATTTGCTGTATATTTACACTTGATCCTTTATTATTTTCAGAGTCTGAATTTGCAGATTCACCTACCTGCTAAAATGTATTTGTAACCCCAAATTAATACCCACAATATTTTTCCAGTCATTTGCAGACTAGTACACACACTGAACCATGAAACAATTGGAATCTCCAGAAGAACACATTCCCAGTTGAGGTTGAACAAGGAGAAACTTCTTGTATTGTAACCAAGTGTCCTTTCTGTGGTCAAATAAATGCCACTTTCTTCTTTTGCATTTATTCATTTACTTTTGCTTTCTGTTGGTGATTTTACTATTTAAAATGCTCCCCAAGCATAATACTGAAGTGCTACTTAGTATCACTTATTGAGTGAGACTGTGATGTGCCTTAGGGAGAAAAATCCATGTGTTAGATAAACTTCATTCTGGCATGAGTTATAGTGCTATTGGCCATGAGTTCAATGTTAATGTGTCAACAATATTGGATAAGATGTCTTTAAGCAGAAATATACCTAAAACAAGGTTATGTATTGATGAATTGACAAAAATGTAAACAGAGGCTCATAAGAACCTAAACCTGTATTTTCCCTAGGAGTAGTATTACCATATTTACAAATTCAGTGTTTGAGGCAACGTTATAGAACATGGCTACTGCAAGTCATGAGAATTGACTGGCATGTCATTGACATTTTAGAAATGCTTAGCCAGTAACTGACTTTACACAATTTTTTAAATCCTTTTACAAAGGCACTTAGTCATCTGTAGAGCAAGAGCTAATTTATAGTAATCTAAAAGAAGGGGCTTTGACTTCAGTTCCCCTGGAGAATAGTGCCCTATGTCTGCTACTTCCACATGATTGAAACAATATCAAAGTCTTCAGCCATTGTGGGCCAGGGACTCAGAAATCCATTCCCTGACTTTGTGTCTGGCTCCCTCTGATAGTCATTCATTTCTACCACCTCAAAAGAAAAACATCAAATGTTTATTTTAAAAATTAATCTAGGGGCCTGGATAGTTCAGTAGGTTAAGTATCCATCTCTTGATTTCAGTTCGGTCATGACCTCAGGATCATGAGATCAAGCCCTGCGACAGGCTTCATGCTCAGTATGGAGTCTGTTTAAGATTCTCTTTCTCCTTCTTCCTCTGCCCACCACCACTCTCTAAATAAATAAATAAATAAATAAATAAATAAAATCTTTAAAAATGATTAATTTAAATGTTCATCAGAGTGTTACATGCACATTATTTTTTCAAACAGGCTTGCAACTAAAACTAATAGACTCTTCCCTTACCAAACCCTGCTCCCATTCCCTCCAGATTCCCATGTTCATCACTCTTTTTTTTTTTTTGTCACTCTTTCTTTTCTGGAATTTACCTTCGTGTTTTTTAATAATGTCCTCAGGTAGCTGTCCCTCAATTTCTTTGCTTTAATTCCCCAGTTTTAGATCTCACCTGCTGGTTTATTTTTATGTCACTACTTTGCACTCTTTTACATGTCCATCCCTCTTCCCCTTCACCCAACATCTTCCCTCTTTTCTCCTCCTACTCTTCTTTCTCCTCCTCTTCATTTTCATTCTAGTCCTTCTTCTGCTCAGAGGTATAATTAATTAAAGTAAAATGCACAAATCTTCAGTGTTTATTTCTATGATTGTATTATTTTACTGGAACTGCCATAGCAAACCCCACAGATGAGGAAACCTAAACAAACCCAGTTACTCATTTTCTTAGAGCTCTAGAGGCTGGAAGTCAAAGTTCAATGTATCAGGAGAATTTTTTCTCCCAAGCCCTCTCTCCTTGACTTACAAATGACTCTCTTCTTCCACTGTCTTTACATTGTCTTCTTCTGTGTGTGTCTCTGAATCTCCAATTCTATTTTTTTTCAAGATTTTATTTATTTATTTGACACAAAGTGAGAGAGATCACAAGTAGGCAGAGAGGCAGGCAAAGAGAGAAGGAAGCAGGCTCCCTGCCCAATATGGGTCTTGATCCCAGGACCCTGAGATCATGACCTGAGCCAAAGGCAGAGGCTTTAACCCACTGAGCCACCCAGGTGCCCCATGAATCTCCATTTCTTATAATAACATTAGTCATATTGAATTAGGTCTCATGCTAATTGGCCTCATTTAACCTAGTAATTTCTTCAAAGTCCCTACCTCCAAATACACTCAAATTCTGAGGTATTGGGGATTAAAACTTTTGAATTTAGAACAGGGGCACAATTGACCCCATAATGATATATTTTGACAATTATATCCACCCATGTAACAAACGTGAAATAAAGATGCAGAATATTTCCATCTCACTGAAAAGTCGCTTTCTTCCCATAGCCAGTCAGTCCCCCAGTACAACTGCCATGAGCAGAAACTGCTGGTCTGCTTTGTATTACTATAAATTAGTTTTGCCTATTCTTGAACTTTATATAATGAAATTGTATAGTATGTACTCTTTTGAGCTTATGTCTTATTATTTCCAATTTTTTATCATATTAAATTTTTCTTTACTGAATTCCTGAGAATTCCTTCTTTTTTCCGTTTTAGATTCTCCATTTCTTGGATTTCTTACATTTTTCTTTCTGTTTGCACTCTCATTTTCCTGAAGCACACCCTCATTAGTCTCCTGATAAAGGGAATGGAGATGGATATTGTTGAAACCTTGTATTTCTGAAAAGTCCCTATAGTTGTACTTATATAAGCATATATTCTTATACTTGTGTTATATTTTCCTTACAGTTGGTAGTTTGTTTGTATAGCCTTGGAAATCCAGGTTTAAAATACTTTAGAATTAGAATTTTGTAAGTACTGGTCTGTTGTTTCTAACTTTAAATGTTGAGAAATCCTACTCCTTACTATTTTTACTCCTGATCATTTTTTATGTGACCTGCTTTTTGTCCTCCATTCTGGAAATGTTTGGATCCTCTCTCCCCATGAGGCTGTAGTGTTTCACAGTAATGTGCCTTAAGGTAGTTGGTTGTTTTTTTTTTTTTTTTTCATGCATGATGTCAGACATTCCATAATCCCCTTTAGACTAAAGTCTCAAATTTTCTAGTTCTGTAAGTTTTTTATTTCAGGGGAGGGTTCTTGTTTTTGTTTTTTTTCTTCAGTAATTTTCTGCCTTCTATTTTTCCTATTTTTTTTTCATTATTTCATCTTATTAGTTGGATGTTGGAAATTATGGACTAAACCTCTAATTTCTTTTCTCTCCAAATTTCTATGTTCATTTTTTTTTTACCCACTAAATTTTAGGAGATTTCTTTTAATTTATCTTCCAGTTTATTTGTTGAATATTTAACTGATGCAACCAAATTACAAATATCATAATATTTTAAAAGAATCTTTTATATTTTCTGTATTTTTATTCCTTTCACAGATGCACTGTCTTCCCTTAGATTATCTGGGTATTAATGATAGGTTTTTGGATCCCTTCTCTGCTCTAAGCACCAGTGCTGTTTCCTTCAAGGGCCATTATGTTCTTACGTATTTTTTTCCTTTTTTATAGTAAAGGTTTTTTTCTAAATGTCTGATAGTCTTAAATTTTTGGTTTACATTAAAATGAAATAGGTACTAAAAATTGATTGCAACGTGCAAATTCTAGTGCACGAGTTGGGTTATTAAGTGGGAACCTCATTATTAAGGGATTAATCAGAAATCTGGCTGTTGTTTTCTCTAGAACCTAACTTAAAATTCTCTATAGAGAGTTATTACCTGATATTCTGCCTGGGGAACATACACCTGCTTTTCCCTGCTCTGACTTCAGAGGAAGAAAGAAGACTTGGGTGTCTTTGACTTAATAAGTCAAAAATAAGTCCCTTGCCCTCATCTCTTCTCTCCTGTCTGCCTCCTATTTCTGAATCTGTGGATTCTGTTTCAATATCCCTAGAGAATAAAACTGCCAGCTACTCCCAGATCACTGAGGGTTAGTAGATTGATTTTACTGAATGTGAGTAGGATTCTCAATCCATCTTTTATTTCAACACCATGCTTCAGTCTTGTCTTTCAAGGTACTTAGGAAGCAACAATTTCTAGTCCTCCCTGAACTTTGTCATGTAAATCACCTTATTTTTCATTAATATCTCTTAAGGGGTAATTTAGGTTTCATTTTCTCCTTTGACTCAGCCACCACACTTCTCTCAGTTTGCCCCTCTTAAATATTTGTTAACATCTCTTATCCATTAGACTCCTATTCTCTATTTCCTTATAGGTTTATACCCTTTAGAATATTTTACTGTCATTTTAGTGGCATTTACAAAGAAGAGGCGATAATGCATGTAATCAGTCGAATTATATATTTTTGTCAAAATCATATGAAGAGGAATACTGTCAGATAGTGAGAATGGCTTTAATTTGGTTCTGTGGGGTAATCCCTAGCACTTCTTGCCTCTCTACTTTATTCACACTTAGGTTTGGGTCATTTCTTTGACCCCATCCTGTCATCCTTACTCTCTCCAATGTTTTAATTTACATCTATTATTTTGCAGAGTATCAAAGTAAGCTGGCTGCCTCCTCCATCAGGCACACAAAATGGATTTATTACTGGCTATAAAATTCGACACAGAAAGACGACCCGCAGGGGTGAGATGGAAACATTGGAGCCCAACAACCTCTGGTACCTTTTCACAGGTCAGCGTTCTCATGGTGTAATGTTGCAAGGTTTTGATGAACTAAATGCTTTAGAAATAAAATATACTCTCATTTCAAGGGAACATTCTTTGTTGTTGTTGTTATTGTTTTTCCTGACAGGTGACATTTATGGGTCTGAACAAAAATAAGCTTTATATTCTTAACTTATTATTCTCTGTAATGCTTTCAGTACATATTTTGCCTCTGGCTCATGATCTTAATAAATATATCAATTTTTTTAATCCACATTTATCCAGCAATGCTTCTCAGCATTGCTGATTCAACAACAGCTTCTCTTGTCAAATAACTTTTAACTTTTTAACTAATAACCTTAAAAAACCATCTAATCAAATAGTCCCAAGTTTAAGTTACTTTGATCCCTCTTCCCCAATCTCCAGCATTAAGGATGGAGTTGGAAAATGTGGAGAAGTGTAGTCTGGGAAATAAAGACTGTTCTACTTTCCATAAACCTAAAAGTTAATTCACTTTTGTAGCAATATTGGTGTAACTCATAGTAAGTAAAACTTCTTTATGAAAACCGGACCCAGTTTCTGTGCTGTAGTTAAAGAACATGCATTTTATTTTATAAAATTAATAATCATGTGCTTATTTAATTTTAACTATTAAAACCTTTAATTCATGTCAGGCCAGGTTCCCAGAAAACAGAGCCTGAGGTATGCTTTCAACATAATGCCTCTTGGGGGGTGAAAGCCCAGGAAAGCACCAGTGAGGGAAGAAAGAAAGTGAGAAGGGGCAATGAGAAATCAATGATGGTGACATATCATTGAGCTGGCCACAAGTTTAGAGTAAACAGACTTCACTTGGCCTCCGGGGGTGTCTCCTCCGAGGCCACAAGAAGCACTATGTATCACAGTCAGTGGCTGGATAGGAAGCCTGTCATTGGTCAAAGTCCACCAATAGGCTATTATCTATTCTGTATCTCCAAACAGCACCTGAGAAGTCAGAGCATCTGGTGAGTATGCAAATATGGAGTTCTCTTCTTGTCAGTGAGTACTTTATATGGTGGTTGCTGGGTTTAAGGTAGCAACGGTACTCAACACGGCCTTATAGCTCTAAGAAGAGCATGAGCTGTTGCCAGGGACTTGGGAAGCAAAGCGTATAGCAGTGGCTTGTGATAGGAACTGGTGGGTGAAGTTGAGGAAATCTGGAATGGCACATAAACTGGGTCCAGGAAAATACACAAACTGGAATTCATAACTTACAGCTAATAGATAAAGTCAACTATCATTGCAAATGAGAAAAGGTGAAAATAACCCATTATTTACTCCTTTCTCTATTTCAGGTACTCAATAAGTTTTTATTTGAAATCATAGTGTGTACACACACACACACACACACACACACGCCCCATACATTTTAAGCTGCTTGTTCAGCCCACAAGCTGAGACTTGATCAAAACCTGCTTTTTCCCGTCAGTTTTTTTTCCCTTTCATGCCTATAAAATTTTAGCATAATGGTGAGAATTCTTCCAAGGTAGATTCAAAAATCACTTTACTTATTTTATATCTGGACAAAATCTCTTAAGCAGGTATTATTGTTCGTAAGCAGAAGTTACGACACTCTACCACATCATTTAAAAAGCTTAAGAAAAGCCAAGACCCTAAGTCTTTTCCTGATGAAATTACAGGAAGAAGGTAACAATAACCGAAGTTGAGATGAGGCATATGTGCTCAGTGGGATACTTAGTACGACATGTCATTTATTTTGAAAGAAATCGCCAAGATTGAAAAAATCTTGCTGAAAGTTTTAAGTATAATTCCCAAGATATGATACTAGACTAGAAGAAGAGCCTCTAAGGATAATTGTATCCAAGCACCCCAATTTTATTGTGGTATAATTATCATACGTCTCTGTATAAGTTTAAGGTATACAATGCAATGGTTTGACTTTTGTTTATTGTGAAATGATCGCCACTGTCAGTTTAGTTAGCAATCATTATCTCAGATAGGTACAACAAAAAGAAAAAGAAAAAAATTTCCTTGTGATGAGGACTCCTAGGATCTACTTTCTAAAAATGTTGATCTGTATCATACAAAATGTGGAATGCATCCAGAATTTGCAAGTCATCCTCATACAGAGGCTGTGCTAATATTCTCTGTATCACTCCGGTTTTAGTGTACATGCTACTGGAGCAAGCACCATGCCTTAGTTTTTAGTAGATATTGACATTTGAAGTCCTGAAACCTTTTTTTTTTTTTAATTTTTCTTCTCAAAAGGAAAAGGTGAAAAATATTTTTAAAAATATTATAGAATAATTACTTAAAGGATGAATGTTCTGATTGAAAAACTAAGGATTGGATACTCAATTTATAGAACTATAAAAAGCCAATATGCATGATAAAATGTTCAAACTCAGTAGAGAAATGCAAATTGAAACAAAAATGAGTTAGCATTTTCCTTTGATTAAAGTAATAAAGATATAAAGGAATGATGATACCTTGTTCTGGAATGATGATGCCTTGTTCTTCATTATTTCTGAGAGAAATAATGAATACTCATATACTTCTGTGGGCCAGAAGATTCTGGAATCTCTCTGGAAAGCAATGTGGAGATATGTATTATACACAGGTATAAATATGTGTGTGTGAGAGAGAATGGGAGAGAGAAAGAGACAGAGATCTTCATAGATATATGATCTAAGTTTTCTACTAAGAATTTATTCCAATTCTGAGCCATATTTTCTGTGAAGTTTTTAACTATAAATAAGTTCATTGTACTATTACTTTAATACCCAATTATAAGAAAAAAAGACTTCAAGTATCCAAATATAGGCAGTTTCCTAAAATATTGCATCAAAATAATATCATGGAATACTGTAGATCTATTGCAAATGATATAATGTAAAACTATTAAATAACATGTTAAATATTTAAAACATACTGTTACATGAATAACTAAACTCTAAATCAACATTAATGTATGAGCCCATATTTATAAATAAAAAATGAATTGGTAGAAAAGTATTTAGAGTAACATATATACCAAAATATTGATAGTGATTGTTATTTATATAACAATAAAATATGTATTTTTAAAATTGTATATATAAAATGAAAAAATTCAAGACTCTAGTGTCATATTATGTCATATCATGTCATATCATATGTCATGTCATATCATACCAAAATTGAAAATTCCTACCACTGAAGCCAATTCCATGTCCACTGAACAGCTAAATGACAAGTGGTCCAGAAAATAAAGAATAGTAGCCCCACAGCCTAGAGAAACTGCTGGCATGAAATGTTTAGTAATTATGATATTTGTGGCAAATGAAATTTAATACATTCAACTCAATATTTTTTTTAAAGATTTTATTTATTTATTTGTCATAGAGAGAGCTCAAGCAGGCAGAGTGGCAGGCAGAGGCAGAGAGAGAAGCAGGCTCCCTGCTGGACAGGGAGCCCGATGTGGAACTCAATCCCAGGACCCCGGGATCATGACCCGAGCCGAAGGCAGCGGCTTAAGTGAGCCACCCAGGCGTCCCCATTCAACTCAGTATTATCAAAGATTCTGACTCCCTAAATACACAAACTTTTAGGATCTTTACTCCACAAAAAGTGAAATCATTTAAAAAACGAAAAGAGCAAAAAGTTTGTAATAAAGGCATCATCAAGGATGGTTCCTTCTGGAGTTTCTGAAGAAAAACTCATCCATGTTTCTCTCCTAACCTCTGCTGGTTGCTGGCAATTCTTGTCATTCTTTGGCTTGTAGATATGCCTCACCTATTTCTGCATAAGGACACCAGTCATTGGATAGACCCCCACTATAAATCCAGGATGGTTTCATCTCAAGATCCTTGACTAATTATATTTATAAAGATCCTATTTCCAAGTAAGGACACATTCTGAAGTTCCAAGTATACATGAGTTTTGAGGTGAGCACGCCTCAACTCGTACAGACTCCTTTTATTTTTCTTCTTGAGGACAATTATATTCTCTAATAAACTTTATTCAAAAATAAATAATTCAGTCCTGTATTTCATTCTTCTAAAATATATGGGACAATTAGAGTTTTTAATTAGCATGCGATATAACCCATTACCCCTCTGGTTTAATACCATTCTGGTCAAAAGCAAAGAAATAGGATGGATTAATTAGCTTGCTATTGGAATAGCTCACAAATGCCCAGTGCCATCTGTATATATTTGTATAAATCTGAACTCCAAATGTGAATTCTTCATTCATCCTGTTCCTTCTTCATTTCAATAATTGTAAAGTGAATTTGGGAAGATAAACAATCTGGGCAGTTACATTTGTAAGGTTATGTAATATTTATTGTAAAACATAGTCACACAGACTCTATTTTTCATTTGAAATGAAGAAATAAAAGTCTTCATAGAATAGCCTCGTATCCTTAAAACATTAAAAACAAGTTTCGCAGACCTCTGCCTTGCTCTCCCCTGAAGTGTGACCCAACTTTGGTAATGCCTGTTGCTTTTCTAGATGTGAAAATATCTTCAGTACGACAAAGCATCAAGGAGCCAGAAAGTACTACACACTGGTAGATTGGTTGTGGTTTTGACTTGTCCCCAGGATATGTTTACTAATTTATGCAATTTCTAGTTTGCAGAAGTAATAGATTTTTTGTATGAATCTGCAGTACTTTAGAATGTACAAGATTTGACCCCATGTTTCCAATACCTTTAAGATATGTGGATATATTGATTTGTCTGTTAGAAAATTGGAAATGTCAGAATGCTTTATTTGGGTGGTATAAATATTCAGGTCTAGAGACTCAAACATTTTTTTTTTTTACAGTCCTCTTTCTGTTAGACAGGTGTTTTTTGTTATGTGTGTTTTTTACTAGGATAATGAGGCATCTGCAATAACAAAGTAATTCAGTTATAACAAGGATTTTAAATCACTGTTATCAATTGCATTGTGAGATCCCATGTCAACTAAATTTTAAAGTATTGTTTTTAATTTTTGAGTGCTCTTCAGAGAAGGTTATTTGGAATTGAATATAAGAGTTTTCTTGTG